AGATCTCGGCCCGCTGCTCAGCTGGAGACTTCAGCCTGAAACACACACACAAACACAAACACCCGACGACACGCCGTTCATCTCACATCTTAAAGAACATCACACATTCTCCTCCACACCTCCAGAACTGTGTGTTCGAGTCCTCACAGACAAACTGCTGTATTCTGTGAACATCAGCTGCTTTTCATTACTAATAATAAATCAGGTCCAAAATAAAGTCTCAAACCCTTTCTAATTTGCCTCATTTAGATGTGTGTGTGTGTGATTGTGTCAGTAGTGAGTGTGTGTGTGTGTGTGAGTGTGAGTGTGTGTGTGTGTGTGTGTGTGTGTGTGTGAGAGTGTGTGTTGTACCTCCTGTAGATGTACTGGTTGTAGATGGGATCTCGTGGACTCCTCATGAAAGCATTCGCCTGATATGGATTCACAAATACTGAAACAAAACAGATGCTTTTTATATAAGACACAGTAGTATGGGATAAACAAACATCCACGTCAAATGAAATGCAGCGTTTCACAGATCTTCAACAACATCTCATCACAGCATTGGTCTTGAGCTGATTTTAGACAGAAGTCCAGCAGCAGTTCTTCAGCTTCATATAAACACAGACGTACTGCACGAAGCCAAAGCAAACAGATGGAAGTGAATCGTGAACATTTACCCTCAAATGACTCGTGGCTCTCCTGAGAATCTACAGGGCGAGAGAGACGTCTGTTAGAGTGTGTGTGTGTGTGTGTGTGTGTGTGTGTGTGTGTGTGTGTTGTCTGTGAGAGTGAGTGAGTGAGTGAGTGTGTGTGTGTGTGTGTGAGTGAGTGAGTGTGTGTGTGTGTGTTTGAGTTTGTTGAGAGCATCATACAGACCATAACAAGCACCGAGTGCCAGAGAAACACAGAGAAACACACAGTGAAGAGCGACACACATGACTGCAGCAGATCCGTCTGAAATCACAAAACAACATGAAACACACTGAGACTGACTGACTGATGCGGGCAGCCATTTATGCTGCGGCGCCCAGGGAGCAGTTGGGGGCTCAGTGTCTTGCTCAAGGGCACCTCAGTCGTGGTATTGAAGGAAGAGAGCGCTGTACATTCACTCCCCCCACCTACAATCCCTGCCGGTACGAGACTCGAGCCTGCAACCTTTGGGTTACGAGTCCGACTCTCTAACCATTAGGCCACGACTTCCCCATGTGACGCTGTAATGTCAGATTGTGTAATGTGGGATTACTTTCTTTTATAAGGTAAATGTTTAATTTTTACAATGCTTTTGTAATGTATTAATTATCATGGGCTGTAATAAAAAAGTAGGCCTATACTAATACATTTGGTTTGAATATGTAGGCTATAAATATGTAGCTATGCTACAGCTTAAAGCTCTTGTCTCCATCTCTCCTGTCCTGTTCTGCTCACACTTGACTGGAGATCTCCCGCTGTGCTGCAGTTTGCTGCTTTTTGTAAAATAACTTCTGTTTTCGATTTTCAAATAAAAGAGTGGTTTCAGTTTAATATGTTGCAGGCTCATTTATTGGTAACAAATAATTAATAATAAATAATATAGATGCTAATAAATAAATAAATAATATTGAGATTGGTTGTGTAAAGCCTTCTGGTCTTGTGTTGGTTTCTCCTGGAAAAGATCACAGGGGGGCAGTTTATCGAGTCCATCCATGTATCGTGTTTACTGGAGAGACGGAAGACCCATGAGAAAACACCAGACACAAAACTTCTATTCACCTCAACAGCTCGACTGGAACTGACTACTTAACAACCAACAAATGACTTACATGATCTTCTTCTTCTTCTTCTTCTTCTTTCAGGTTTAATGGCGGTTGGCAACTCATCTCAAAGGTGCATTACCGCCACCTACTAGACTGGAGTGTGCGCATTAGACTGACATCAGAGGAGTGGAAAAAAATTTAAATAAATAAAAAATACCCTATTAAATTCTTTCACTTAACCCAGTGTTTTTCAAAAATACCATTAATAAATTACGTGTTCTCCCAGATGTTTTCCCTAATAAATGCTCAAGTGTCATGCTTTGTTCATCCATTTGTGCCTTTAATTCTGCCCTATCTTCTTCATATGTTTTGCAGTCTAACAGTATATGCTTCACTGTCTCTTGTACATTTCAATAAGTGCATAATCCAGTGGGATGTTTTCCTATTCTGTGCAATGTTGTCTTTAAAGCAGTGTGCCCCATTCTAAGACGTGAGACTAGCATCTCCTCCTGTGGGCCTCTGCTCGTCCTCATGCTTGTGACTACTTGATGTTGTGTACTGTATACATGACGTCCTGTATCCGCTGTGTTCCAATATTCCTGCCCTATTTTAAGTGAATGTTGCTTTATGATGGTTTTGACCTCTGCTCTACTTATTGGTACGTG